GGGGGGGAGTGCAATGTAAAAAGACAACTCAACTTACCGTCAACTTTGCGGAACTAAAAGCAGTGAACGTGTGTGTAGATCTAGAGTCAAGAGTGTTCAACACTGCCGACACTGCTTCCTTACATGGGGAATCTAGACATCATATATATTCAACGTCGGACAGCATGTTCAAATTGTCTTCTCAGTGATAAGCTCTGTAAGACATTCCAACCCATCCCTTCCATCTCAGTCACGTTTGTGACAAGCGGAGACCCCAGCTACTGTGTCCTTAGGCCTACAATATCGTGTGGGTGGTTCCTCCAAAACAAATCGTTTTGTGATAGTTCTTAACTGCTAAACTGATAAACAGATGGTGACTTCGTCGTTCGGGGTTTAAAGCGATATGCCCAAAAGGACTATTCGTGCATTTTGAATTTTAACTTTTGAAATCATGAATAAAAACAAAGACACAACACTGAATATGATATTATCCTTTTTCAAAACTCCGAATCTGTATTTTTTAATGTCAAAAATTATTTTTAATATATGTCTCTTTCTTTGGAAAATACCAAGAGAGTAAACAAGAGGTGGGAACAGCCATAATGCACTGTCACATCTCCTCCTCATTTTGCAACATATTAAACGGAATAATTTCCTGTTATCAAATACCAAGGGAAGCGTAAACTCCATTGTTGACTTAACATGTTTTTGAGGAGCTATAACCATAAAGCACAATACAATCCTTCCTGTTATTCCATTGACAGTGAGCCCCACGCCTTTCTTTGCATGAAATACCGTCTTTTCCTATCGTTCAACAGAGACTTTAAAAAAAAAGACGTTATAAAAGTGTAGCTAAAACCTTACAAGAAATTTTGAGACGCCAAATGCTGTCTTTGCTTTACTTCATTACAATTTTATCTGCACTTGTATCTGCTTATTAATTAAGAAAAATATCATAGACCTTAATTTCTTATTTCAGATGCACGTTAATAATGAACTCTTAGTAGGTCTCATGGAAACCTGGCATGGTATGTTGTTTACAAATGGCTGTAATGGCGTCAAAGGATCACCGTCGCTTGCTCTACTGATGCCCATTATTATTGTGCATTGCCTTATCTCTTTTTGGATTTGACCGTAAGTTTGGAAATGCTATTTTTACCCTTTTGTAGTAGTGTCCAGGCAAACAATAATGAGTGCCAATCTGTTTTCTGGATTGTTAAAGTTGAAGAGCAGAACACCGGGCGTAACAAGTTGTGGCTTGTTAAAAATCTATCGAGCACGGCGGTACAATTTTTTTATATTTATTTGCTTTTAAAAACTTTTAGAAGCTAGATCTCTAGATCTAGTGAACTTCCATTAGATTCTATATTAGATTTAATATAAATTACATTATGGGAGGAGTGAGAATATTAATGAAAATGTAATGCGTACGATTTCAAGCTTTTATGATGAATACCGTGTATCATGATTTTTGTCAAGACCTAGAGAAGATGAAACTAAGTGGTTAAGATTGAGACTGTTTCATTGGATTCTATTTCAAACAAAAAATTTCAGTTCATATTCAAGTATAGAACGAACTGTGAAGGCTTGACACAGGTCGTAATCCTCCCTGTACAGTACTGATCTCGAGCTCTTCATCAGACTGAATTTATTGAAACAGCATTGTTTTGCTTTCTATTGGGCTGAAATGTTCAATGATGAGTTGAAAAGGGATACATGATCAAACTTTTGAAGAAAAGGGTATCATTAGAGATCCTTTCTGTTTCATAAATAAATAATTTTAAATTCATTCGCTATTTTATTGTGTCAAGAAGTCTAGATTTCACAGTCACTGTAATTTTTGCATCAAAACATGAAATTCCTAGATTCCTAGCAAAATTTTTGGGAATACTTTATGAGTCATAACAATTTTTGTTGATGATTTATTTTCCCCAAATCAATTTATTGTTTGTAACATGCCCATAATATGATAACACCACAGTCACAGTCACTCAAGACCACAGAGAAAAATTACTGTTAAATATAGATAGGCTACGGCCATGGACAGGTTCTGCGTTGTGCTCACTAACTACAATTGTTATAAAGCCAACAGATGGTTTAAAATCTGTCTTTAAAATTTGTTACATGCACATTGTCTTTTGGATGGGTTAAAATATGTGTCACGACCAGGTGGAATCAGGCGCTCGTCAATTTTTGGGAACGTGGAGAAAATGGCCGCCAAAGTTTGATACCTCTTCAATAGCTTCAAGAGTCCTTGGAAACTGAAAAATCACAAATTTTGTTTTTCAGTAAAATTCACATGGAAATGTCTTTTGATATTATGGACTTAAAGGTGTAAGTAGAGCGAAAAAACAAAAATTCTATAAAAATTGCCAGATTCGCGGAAAAATGCCTGTTTCGTCAATTATAATTATGAGGCATCAAGGTGAAATCTGGCGCTCGTCAAAATAATGAAATCCGAGAAATCAACATTATCAGCCTGTTTGGAATTTTTTTTCGATTTTTTGGTTTGGCTCAATACCTTCTTGTATGTCCATTCAAAAACACTCGTAGATTTTAGGGATGTCGATTAAAGGCACTAAAAAGGTAAATTTGCAGTTTCCAAGAACTCTTTTAAAAGCTATGGATGTCACCAAACTTTGGCAGCCATTTTCTCGCAGATTACCCCACTTCCTTCAACTGCAAATATCTCGACTTCTATTCAAGATTGATGGGTATATTTTTTTTTCAATAGAAGTAAGACAAAGAGCTTTAAGATGATACCAATTATGACTCTATATATATATATGCCCACAAATTTACGAGCGCCTTCCTGATTCCACCGCATCTTGACACAATTTCACTATTTTGACGAGCGCCTGATTTCACCACAACATGTCACATAATATTAAAATTATAGGAAAAATGCAAGGATGTCTTGGAACGGTGGCTGTTAGTGCAGGTGAACACAATGGAGAGATGACTGTTTAGGCAGGTTCGACTATGATTTATTGGACTTCCCTCCCAAATTGCTTTTAAAAGATTTAATTTTCAAAGGATCTGTAAAGGTGTGGATGGTCGATATCAAACAGGATAGACCACAGATACCTTAAATATATAACACAACACACAGAACAACCACCGCGCCATGTTGATTAGCCCCCGCACGCCCAGTGCAGTGCCTCTTTTAATTGAAGAGCTCTCCTCAAGCATGATTGGTAGTTTCCCTTGTAGGGCACACAACAGCATTACTTACACCTACATATTATGGTCCAAAATATACGGTTACAGACTCATTCTGTTACAGTTTTAACTCTGTCTTTTCATGATATATCGTCTGTTCCTCAGCGCTTAGTGCCTACAATCACCATGACCAGAGAGAAGGGCCTGAGGCCCACATCTCCCATTCATGTCCATGTAGACGACACTCCAGTTCATGTCCATGTGAAGAAGGGGAAAAAGAAGGTTGGTTTCTTTTTGTTTTGTTTTTCTTTTACTTCAGCTCTCGTGCTAATATCCACTGGTACAATGGCGTAGGTGGCCCAGTGGTTAGGCTACCGGACTCGTAATCGAGCCATTGCCAAAACGTGGGGAAAAACACACACATCTCACATTAGTGTGCATAAAATGTGATGCATTAGTATTTATTCCTCCAAAACGTATACACACTGCATTAGCAGTTTCAGACCCCTTGTCAGCTTTACAATCTTGAGTTTGTAAATTTTGTGCCAAAAATGTTCGTTTTTTAGTGATTCCTGGAGTGTCATTTTGAGCACACCAATGCAAACTTCCAAGAATGTCCAAAATTTAGTATTTTTGGGTGTGTTTTTTTTACGTGTGCTTTGATCCTATGTTATTTGTCATTGAGAAAGGTTAACTTGCTCAAGAAATCGGTTTATTTGTTTGCAAATAGACGAACAATTCGGGTTACTTGTGCGTCTGTCGTGTCGTCACGGACTAGGACTAGGTGTTTCAGAAAACACCATTATTTTTCAGTAGAATCACCGTAGCTGGTTAAATCTCTTTGCCTATCGTCGTTTATTCAATACTTCAAAAGCCGCAATGCGCGAAAGGAACATCGGGTTCCTAGATCTACGATTTCGGTCGGCTGTTTAACATTCGCCGTTATTGTCGTCAATTGGCGACGTGCCGGAAGTCCGAATTTCGCCCACTTTTGTTTTGAACGGGTCATCAAAAGTGCCCGGATATAATTGTTTTCTTGAGTGACTTCCCCTTACCCGCGTCCCCAGAACAACGGAAGCAACGGGGGAAACAGAAAAACAAAAGTAGTCATTGCCTTCAGCGTCCGGTGACGCACAAGAATTTTGCGTTGAATGTGACGTACTGGGCTGTTTTGCGTGTTTTTAGGCTACTCTGTTGAATATTTTAGTGAAATTGCGGTGTTTACACTGGATTCCTGGAACAAGAGTGTGATGTGTGAACAAACTTCGAGAGATGGATCATTTCTGTGGTTATAGATTTAGCTTTTGTGCTCAGTGATGATGTTTGGGGTGTCGTCATGCAGCCGTACAAGACTGACTAACGTACAAGAAATTACATTGTCCTAAGAGCAAACATTTTTTAAGTAATGTGTGCTCTCTTTACTCAAACAAATAAACAAACATGTCCTTGTTTATCTGTCTAACTCAAAAAATACACAGTTGTTCTTTGTTGGTATGATATACCTTTTTCCAATACATTGTGTCATCATTGTTATGTACAAGTAATATTTTTCATAATTGCTAATATCAATAAGTTTTCAACCTATATTTCATACATGCAAGATTCATTTAGAAGCAAAATACGCCTTTATTGATCTGTGTATCTCTTAGTGCAAATTTGGTCTTTGTAGGCATGATTTTACCTTTTCCCAGTATGTTTTGTCATCACTGTTATGTACGAGTACTGTTTGTCATAATTAGCCACATAATTGTGATTGTCCACTGTCTTTGATATGACCTGGTATCTGTTTCAAAGCAAAAGAAACCTCTCCTGGGTTTTTTTAATTCTTAAAGTGCGCTTTTATCTCTGGAGGCAAGACTTGTCTTTTCCTGTACATTGTGTCATCATTGTTATGCACAAGTCATGTTTGTCATCACTGTTATGTACAAGTCAGCTCCATTGATTTTGTGCTTTTGCCTCATATTAGTTTAAAAATTGTTTTACACATGTGTTTTTCTGGTACTGAGGCTTTGATAACTGTATTTGTACAGCCTTTCACTATTGTGATGTGTTGTCAATGATAATGTCCAATGTGTATCCTTTCTTGTACATAACAATGATGACATGTTCTGTGCACTGCGTCATTGTTACAAAGCTTGTCATTCATATTACCATTATGAATGGAGTTCATAGTGGACAAAGTGTTTGTTTACTAAACAAATGGAATTTAAAGTCTATAATTTGCCTTGCTGCTTATCTGTTTTTGTCATCACTGTTACATACAAGAAATACAGTGGTTGCCAAACCAATAGAACCATATCTCCAAAACCCTGCATCTCCTTGCTCTGATACTCTAGGAATATGAGCACTAAATGTCAATCTGTGACTGACAGAAAAGAGAGTCAAATTGGTAAGAAAATTTTTTTTGCACCACTGAGTCTCAAGAGAGTCTCACGTTTTGGCAATTGCTCAATCGTGAGATTTTGAGTTCAGGGGTTTGAGCCTCAGCTCGGTCCGACGTTGTGTCCTTTGGAAAGGCACTTAACACAAATTCCCATTTAGCTCGGTCCTTTCGGAGATAGACATAAAACTCTGAGGTCCTGCCTCTTAAATAACCTATAAATAACCTAATCACTGGCATTTTTGCATACCGACGTGTCTCAAAGGCCACAAAAAATGACTTACGGCTGTATGCAATACTGCCCGTGTAATAGTGTTAATAGGGAACGTCAAACCTATATAATCATTTCCACTGACACTCCTATAAATAATGTTTCCAAGATTTTATTACTTGTATTTTTTATGATTTGCACAGTCTGATTCGCAAGGTGTGTCTCTTCCTTGAAGAAGTATTTTATGCATGTCATGTGTGACTAGAGTCACTGTTGTACTTTTAACAATGTTCAGGATGTAAAGCGACGGGGGTTAGAGGGAAGGGGCGATGTTGTTGTTTATATTTTAAAGATATAGATTTATCATCAGTGCCATGGCTCAGACTGAGGGTACCAGTCCTGGGATTTCTAAGTTTAGTGGCGATTTACTTAAAACAAATCTTATTATCTTACTACTAATGGAGCTACGGCCAAATTTTGCGAACAGTATATTCTCAGAAACTACCTAATAAAGAAATATGAAACTTTGCCAGTACCTATAACTTGAAACGTAGTGTTGCACTATTGCATTTTCATTAACATCAAATGTGTAAGGAGAAAGCCCATTTTAAGTTAAATTCAGTCCTTTTGTAGCGATCGCCACCATTTGCTTCGACATTGTATATTCACTGCGGAGTGCCGACTGCGCCGAAGGATATTTCATGTTCAGTTATACATTATGTAGGTTTACAGGAATTCCCAGTTTTGATTTCACGCCTTTGACCGTCTTCTCACAGCGGGTTTAGAGCGCTCATAGAAGAAGAAGAAAAAGGAGGAGGTGTAGATGGTAGATGGAGGAGGAGTAGAAGGAGAAGGAGAAGAAGAAGAATGATGGGGGACGAGGAGGAACAGGAGAAGAAGAAGAAGAAGAAAAAGGATGAGGAAGAAGAAGAGGAGGAGGAGGAAAAGGAGGAGGAGAAGAAGGAGCAGGAGGAGGAGCAGGAGGAATTAAAGGAGGAGGAGGGGGAGAACAAGAAGAAAAAGAAGAAGAAGAATCAAGTAGTAATACATTTTACAAAGTGAGGACTTTTTCGTTTGTTACCCTACCTTGGGGGGGGGGGGGAGAGAGAGAGAGAGAGAGAGAGAGAGAGAGAGAGAGGGGGGGGGGAAGGAAGAGTTAGATAGAGGAGGCCAAAAAACACTGTAAAGGTAGGGTGATGAGAGTGACAGGGCGGGTGTTGTTGAAAGCGCCAAGAGTAGCCTACCGTAGGCCTACTTAATGTATTCATGGGTCAAAGTCTGAGGTTCAGCCAATCGTAGCCCGGTTTAGGCCCTGCGTGTAGTCGCATGTGTGTGTATGTCTAGATCTAATATCTAGATCAAGATAAAAAAAACATGAAAGTAGAAAGTATTGAAAGTAGATTTCTCCTGCAGTGGATTTTAGCCCGCACGTCGAAGGATGAGTGAATTTTGTGCACAGTGTGTAGATGAGATCTAGAATCGAGATCTAGAATCGAGATCAAGAAGAATCATGAAATGAAAGTAGAATCTAGATTTGTGATATTTCGATAACCTATTGAATATTGAAAGTGGATTTTTCTTGCTGTGCATTATAGATTCTAAGATCTAGATCCAAGCTAGATCTATATTATGTGAATCTTAGATTGAGATAAAAAATGATGATAGTATTGAACGTGGATTTTTTTCCTGTTGTGAATAGATCAAGAGTCTAGAACTAGGCTATCTGTGAATCATGAAATTATATCCTTGAAAGTGGATTTTTCTTGCTGTGAATAGATCTATTCTAGAAATCTAGGTCACCTGTGACGCCTGTCGTTTGTTAAAAATGTGAATTTCTAAAATTAGATCTATCTGTGGGCTTAGGCTCCTTCTTTCAATTATTGGCCTATGTCTTTATAATCCTTCGAGATCTAGGCTAGATCTAGAATCTAGATTAGGTTCTTCTAGGAAGCAACAATTGGCATGTAGGCCTAACTCTTTAAAAAAAAAAAAATGGAGCTGGAACTTTAGGAGAGAATGCCACGCCTTTGAAGAGAGGGAAGAAGTCTTACCCATAGAGGTAATCAAGAGGGGGTGCTACATGGATAAATTCAAAGGTAAAATATTTATGTTTTGTTTCCTGCTTGTTTTCAGTCTTTTTCCTCTTGTTAACTTTCCTTATACTTCTTCATTATTATTCCGTTCGTAGAACGGGTACTTTTACTAGTAAATCTAATTTGTGAATGAATATTAAAAAGTTTTGTGTTCATAACTGGGTTTTTTTGTTTGTTTTTTTGTTACACACCCACAGAATTCTCTGACAAAGTCAGCCAGCAACCAGCGCCTTCAAAAGTCCACAGTCTCATCAAGGGCTCGCGCTCGGAGTGTGAGCCCAACACCTAAGGCTGGACCATGGGTGCCCGCTCCTGGCAAGGCCACAAAAGGGGGGAGAGTTACCTGGCAGGTGTGTACATCCATCATATATATGTGTCACGACGCGGTGGAATCAGGCGCTCGTCAATTTTTCAGCTTATGAGGTTATTGGTATCGTCTTAAAGCCTGTTCAGTTGTCTTGCTATTGGTGAAAAAAATGCCTATAAAAAAATATTGAATAGAAGTCAAGTTTTGTGAAATTGAAGAAGGTGGGGTCGCCTGGTTTCAAATGAAGAATAAGCTAGAAAATGACCACCAAAGTTTGGTTATTTCCGTAGCTTGATAGTCCATGGAAACTGAAAACATATATTTTTTGTGCCTTTAATAAACTTTATTCAGTAAAATCCACCCAGAAATGTGTTCTTAATTGGACAAGAGCCCCCCCCCCCAAAAAAAAAAAATCAATAAAAATTGCAGAAAAATGCCAGTTTCTCCAATTTCATTATTTTGACGAGAGCCTGATTTCACCACACTGCCTCACATATATTGTTTGTTTTTTTTAGAATCTTGATACTTTAAGTTGTCTTCATTTACTGTTCAGATATTGGTGTTCATTTAAGCCAAACTTGGTTATTCCATAAACACCAGTTTATCCTAATGGGCTGATTCATCAATGTCATGCTCATAACTGTGCCGGAATTGCTATAGGGAACTGCTGCTTTTTCTTTCCTCATCCTTACTATCATCATTTTCCTCTACTTCTTTTGTACGTTTGTCACTCTCTTGTGACCCGCTATTTCCGCGGTGCCTTGATAGTCGAAGTAGACTTTGTGCTGTTGAAGCTAGACAGGTGAGCAGAGTAAGCCCAATTCCCTGTAAGGACTTCTCTGCTGACCTCCACCCCTTGGCACTCATATGACCTTATGCAGTTGTAAGCGATAAAACCTCTACTAAAACAAGAAGATAATGTGTGTGTGCTTTTTCAACACACCTTGACTGACACCCAAGAGCCGTAGTCAGGGATTGCAGAATTGTACCCCACAGACTCTCCTCCTTTTTTTTTAGTATGTTACTCTCTCATAACACCTAATGTTCTGCACTTAAATGACCTATTTGTGTTGCAAGTGGTGTTCAACTTTTACCCCCAAAAAATACTCCACAGCATTTGTGATAATGTGAATGTAAACTTGTTTTTCTGTATATGCATGGTGTAATGTTTTGTTTGTTTTGATAATTTTTTTATCCCTGATATGCACACATTGTCAGACTTTGAATCAGATACGATGGCAATTGAACTGGATTGCTGTGTTTCTAATTTTCTTTTCCTTTTTTTTTTCATTGAAAGGGCTCAAATCGAATGGAAATTCAGCATCTGAGGAGTGGGGATATGTCCACTGATGATGAAGAAAGGGCAGGTGGTGAGACCCGCAGATATGAGAAGAAAATCAGTAACCTCATGAATGAAGTTGGCACTCTCAAAAATGAGGTGAGGAATTCTGACAGTCTCTTTTTTTTTCTCTCTCCCTTCCTCCATCTTTCTCTCTCTCTTTCTCTCCCACTCACTCACACACTCTCTCTCTCTCTCTCTCTCTCTCTTTCTCTCTCTCTCTCTCTCTCTCTGTCTCTCTCTCTCTCTCTCTGTCTCTCTCTCTCTCTCTCTTTCTCTCTCTCTCTCTATCTCTATCTCTCATTCTTATAATGTATAATATATATATATATATATATATATATATATATATATATATCATATTGTACTGCTAGTTACAGGTAGTGAAATCTAAAAATCCTGAAAATCTGGCTTCGTCATGTTCTTAAGAATATTGAACGCTGCTTTGGTTTTAATTTGTTGGTCTGAAAAGTGTGTGGTTTCTTCTTCTAAAAAGTGACACAAATGTCGGCAACACAAGAATTATATATTATGTATGGATAAAAATATGTTTGGGGGTTGTTGTTTTTTTTCACTGGATGAAGTTTTCCTGCTTGCTCAGGTTGTCCTCCAGAAAGCGCTGCAGGAAATAGAGCACAAGGAAGACCTCCTAAACACGTCATCACGGGTCATCGAGCGACAGGAGGTGGAGCTAGAGAATGTGGAGGAGGAGCTTGCTGTCACAGAGACGGAGAACAAGCTGCTCCGGCAGAACATGGAGTGGGCCCAGGAGGAGGCTGAGATCACAAAGTGAGTCCTTGGCTTAGGTCTCGTTTTTCATCCACCCCTTGGTGCTCATATATATGACCTCATGCAGTTGCAAGTGCCGTAAAACCTTGCTAAAACTTTTTTTTAAGACATGGTGCTTTACGACGATGGTTTCATTTGTTCTGTGATCTTTTCTGTTTATTAGTATTGAGGTCTACTATGTCTTTTCTGTTGTGTAGTACTGCGATCTACAAGGAGATGTGGGTGGTTGGCTGGTGCTCTGTTGTGGTTTGCTCCTTCTTTCCTATCAAATACATCTATCGTCTTTATCTGCCCCCCCCTACCCCTCCTTTTTTGTGTGTTTGTTATTCCCTTACTTGTAACACCTTTAACCCTTGGCACTTATATGACCTTATTGTGTCACAAGTGCCATATAACTCTTTCCATTTGGGTAATGGGGAGAGACGAGGTTAATGTGGAATCATAAAATAAATTTTTTGAGCATTTGAGTGGAGAAAGGAATGGAGAACCATGACGCCGATGTGTGTGTATCAGATTTGGCTTTTTATGATGGTGATTTCATTTGCACTCTGGTCTTTTCTGTTGTGTAGTACTGTGACCTGGCCACCCTGCCACAATATGCCGAAGGCCCAGGAAGTTGTCTCTCTAACAAGGCAATCCCCAGTGTCCAGATCGGATATGAGAACAACTTTTTTTTTACTTTAGTACTGCGATCTACCAGGAGATTGACAATCAGTCGGAGGATTTTGCTATGAACTTACTTTGTGGAAACAGCCACCATTGTTACTATGGTTGACACAGGACAGCAGTCTTTGTAGCTTGTACCTTCATATGTGTGCAGAAAGAATGTGTATTTAAGAACTGATACATCACAACAAGCTTAACGCTATCCGTACGTCGTGTTTTACTATCATATCCATACGACGTGGGGAACTCTGTGCCACCACTTTCTAAAGAGGAAATTTACTCTTTGTCCGATTCGTACACTATGCATAGCAGTCTGTCAAAATTATTTTTTGGGAGAAATACTGAAAGTTTCAAAGAGATCTTCGCACTAGAAGTATTCTAAAATGTGAAGAATACAACTCCGGGGGTACAAAATGACCCCATGGCGTACGGATAGGGTTAAAGAAGGGGTTTTACAAAACTAAGGAGGACACTGCAGGCATCAGGCTACCAGCACAGTTGAGACGAGACACTGAGTGAGCTGATGTCGGCACTGACTGGAATGAAGCATGAGGGAGTGAGAGACTGAATGATTGTTCTCATCTTGTATAATCTTCAATGTTCCATCAACGTGCTACCATATTGGTCTAAATCAGACTTTAAAAAGCCATAATGAAGCATTCCCTATACCTTGGCCTTGAACCATGTTCAGAATAACGAAACTGTGCCTACAATCCTTATATGTGTCACGAAGTGGTGGAATCAGGCGCTCGTCAGTTTTTGGGCATGTGGAGTTATTGGTATTGTCTGAAAGCTTAGTCATTCGCCTTGCTTTTGATGAAAAAAATACTCATCTATCTCTAATAGAAGTCGAGATATTTGCAATTGAAGGAGGTGAGGGTCCCCTGGTTTCAGGGTTTCAGAGAAAAATTAGCGAGAAAATGACCGCCAAAGTTAGACATCTTTAATAGCTGAATAGTCCTTGAAAACTGAAAATGTACATATTTTGTACCTTTTATTGACGTTTTTCAGTTAAAATTACATGGAAATGAGTTTTTATTTGGACATAAAAGGTGTTGAGCACGAAAAACAAAAATTCAATAAAAATTCCAAACTGGCGGAAAAATGCCTGTTTCTTCGATTTCATTATTTTGACGAGCGCCTGGCTTCACCATAATGCCTCACATATGGCCTCGGTTAGGAAGAAGGATGGCATGAAGTCAGGAACTTTCTTTTTCAATTTTTAATTTACTCAGAGCTGTGATAAGTGAGTAATGCCATTATTGTAGCGTGCTAATTACATGTCAATCAGACAGACAGTTGTGCCATATTTTTCTGGCGGGAAACTGTACGAGTATGCTCTTTGTGACTTCATTTATTGCTTTTGTTTGTCTTCTGTCTCACTCTCCCTTGACACTAGGGTGATATTTATTTTGTTCTCGCTACCTCCTTCTGAACTAGGGTCCATGTCATTGTTCAGTGCAACTTCTCGATCTTTTGCTAGGTATTAAAGCTATCTCTCTCAATATTTTCTTCCTTTGCTTCTGTGAGCTGTATAGCAAAAAATCAAAAGAAATGTAATCATTCTTATAATTCGTTGATTGAAGACAATAACTACTTAACTATTAACAGTCTCTTATCCACTTGCACAGTAGTTTTACTTTTGTATAAGCAACTACATGAACAAGATTTCTTTGTTTATAAAGGTATTGAGATACAATCCCATCGAGATATTGTGAGCTCATTAAAGTCGTTATTTTTTTCTTTAATCTAACTATTGAATTTTTATATTATGTGCTGAAATACTCAAGTGTAAATCTCTAGAACCAGACCATCAATGATTTATTTATAGAGGCACCAGCCATCCATGTCCAGGTGCTGTTTTATCTCTAGAAGCATTATTATCATTATCTCTTGTGCAGTGACTGATTTAGGTGTTGACATCTTGGTTCTTGCAGCAACAACATCAATGATTTTAACTCTGATGTTGACACAAGCTCATGGGTATCAAGGTGTCCTTTTTTAACGGTTGAGAGTTTTATTATGTTCTATTTGAAGATACTCTTTTATATTTCACTGTTGGAGGAATTGGTGTGTTCAAATAGGTGAAGGATCCAAGTTGTAGTCTTCGAAAATTTCTTTCCTGTTGAATGATTTTTCGCCGTGAGGGAATGGCTTTTGAGTTGAGTTCTTGAGTTTCCCATACAACTGGGAGTTGTTTCTTTACATCAAGTTTGCAATTTTCCTTTTGGCTGTTCTGTGTTTGAGCCAGATGTTAAAGTTTTACTTTCCACTCATTACTTCTTTAGAAAAGATGTTGTTCTGAACGTGACTTAAAAACAAAGGGGTGAAGAAATTACAAAAATTAGGGTTTGGATTACTGTAGTGCCTGTTACGGTTTTACGGTCCCCTTAGTGCTCACATGACCTTATGCAGTGCGAGCACGGGAAAAAACTTACTAAAACTGAACTAAAAACTTGAAGCGCTGTGTTGTAATTAGTAAAGCAATAATGATTAGAAAAGTTTTTGATTAAAGTTAAATATTCATCTATAAGCATTCAAAATAAGATCTAGGCAGACTATGAGGCTTTGAATATCATGCATCCTTTGATCTCATGCAAATTTGAATTGGCAATTCTCTTAATAGAGAAATATTTTCTCACTAATATACTGAAGTAATTCGTAAGTATTCTATCACAAAAATATTGATTTATTGTGCAATTTTTGTATCATCCAGTGAAGACAATCGAAATTCTTCTTCAGTCACCAGGTACTGTCGACATGTCATTGTTGAACTGTTGTGTTTTTTAGAAATTGCAACTTTTGTACATGGTACATCTTGTTATTGACTTGAAACTTTGTATAGCGCTTTGCAGCTGCATTTAGAAACATTTGATCACAGGAGTTTTTGTTATTTGTTTGGTGAGATTTTTTTTCGGGAGGGTTGTTTTTTTTTGGTGTGTTTTTTTTTCAGTTTTATTTGTATATATTTGAAATTACAAATCTACTTTTATTTAGATATATTTTGGTGGTTATATGATGTTCTTGACTGTTGGTCATATTTGAATGTACTGCTGAAAATAATGTTCAAATATGCTGTGAAATGAAGACTCAAAGTACTCAAAGTGGACTTTTTATAGTTTGATTGTAGCTTTTGGTTTTATTTACAATGTGAAATATATCATGTACTTCTACTTGATCCGGAGGAAAATTGTTGGCCTCAAAAAGGGAAATCTTGCTTGAAGAGATCTTTAAAAAGATTTTGATAAGCTTAATTTTATTTTAAAGATATTTGCAACAGATGTATTCCATATATTAATCATATTGGTTACAGGAGCACTGCTAGATTTTCTGTACAAGGTGTCTCCCTGGGTAAAGGTTTTTCTTTTGGGGGGAGGGTTACCTGGTATTTATAGAATGTCGAATATTCATGCATGTAATTTGGAAATGTTCTTCTAGTCCACTGCTATGTCTTCATCAGCACTGAGCTTGTGATCGCTGATGCCGGTACCCGCTCCAGCAGGTGTGAGCTGATGTTTGGTTAGCTGATTCAGCCCGCAGATCATTTTGACTCCGGACGCTAATAATTTGTGACCGCTTCGTGACCTCACGGGTGGTCTCTCAAAATGTTGGGTTTAAAAAAAAATCATATCTAAATTTTATAAAACCTCTGTGTGGAGTATATAGATGTTTAGAATCTTAAGAATACCATTCAATGGCACTAGAAAAAAAAGAGTTGAATGTAAGTGGTAAGGAAGAAAAAGACGAGGGAAAAGTGATGTGAAGAAAGGGAGCAATAGATAAGAGCCGCTGTGAGCAGCTCTGCGTCAAAACACAGGAGATAGTCAGTCACTGTGAGTGGCACTGCGGGCTGAATCAGTCGATCCGTTTCCACCTCTGACCTCTTCACTTTCTCCTTTCTGCATGGTCAAGGTTCTCTAGGGGTGCCCTTGTTTTTGAAATTTCCTGTATTAAAAAAAAAGGAAAATTGAGAATAATTATAATTCTGCATTACATAGTGCATTATATCCACACTCTACAGCATGCTCTATGCGTTTTACAACCGTTTTACCCCACCAGAGATCCTAGAATAGTCAGAAACATTCTCGGCTTCCCTGGGAGCATACAGTGCAAGCTGAAGATTACATGCAGATTCTTGATTTTTATTTTCTCATAAGACAAGGATATATTCTGCTGTATGTTCGGGATGGTAAATAGACCTTTTTCTCTCCAGTAGGAGATACAACCCTTAGAAGTTGTGGAAAGAGTGTAATTTATTTTAACGTCAGTGCTGTAAGATATTTGGCATTATTTTTTTCCAAGTGACTATTTGAGTCGGAATAGAGCTGGCCTATTATTTTAGCAAAGTACTTGCCAACCTGAGCTTAAAGGTGGCAAAAGTGGGCGTTGGCTCCTAAATAAAGATGTTGATGAGCACTGTTTTAGTGTATTATCTCTGTTGCCCCCCCCCCCCCCTTTTTCTTTCTTTCTTCTGTTTTTTTATCTAATGTCTTGGCCATGTGCTTCACCTTTGAAATTACCTCATCCTCATTTCCTTTCTCACCCTGCCTGAATCAGGGTATAAACCATGAACAAACATTTTCCACATTACCCTATCCCAGGCGTGGGTTGTTGGTGGGTGCTCTTGTGTGGTTTGCTTCTTCTTTCCTAGATCCTATCAAGCGTCTATCGTCCTTATCTCCCCTTCTTCTTTTTTTATGTCTGTTACTCTCTTGTAACACCTCTAATCTTCTGGCGCTCCTATGACCTTATGCAGTTGTGAGTGCCGTAAAACCTTTACTAAAACTAAACTATACTGGGCTAGCCTCTTCATAATTATTGTTTTACTTTTCGGTTAGTGCATCATTCTCTGTGACTTTTCTCCAGTTTACGCATGCCCTTCCTTTTGATCTCTTACCCTGTGGATTCCAATCCAACAAATAATATACTATTTGTGTCTAAAAAGGCTTTGAATTAATGTACTAAGAAGTCTCTTCGGTCTTTCGTAAGTAAGGCAACTTTTTCCCAAAAAGTTCTGCGGATCCCGCGCTACATTTACCCAGAAGGCACCCCTAGTTACCTATGTTCACTTTACGTGTTTGGTTCGTTCGGGTAGTTGGTTCTAGAGATAGAGAAATAATATTATGTTATGGGTTTACGACCCTGTTTGTGATTAATTTTCTCACTGCATTCACTTGTGCCTGTTCCTAGTTTAGTCAAACTGAAATCACGACATCTCACGTTTTTGTTCTCAATTCTGTGGTTTCATTAAATTTGTTTTAGGGATGCTAGTTATCTGGACATTTTTGCAGAGGAGTCCACTTGAACTGAAATTTGTTGGAGCCTCGGGTTTTCTTTAGTGTTTAGAGTTTTTGGTTGCGACAAGTTGCTCAAATAGAAGAAAAAAACCCAGTGATTTTGTTTTTCTTTCAGCTTACGTCTGGACTCTATTGTAATTCTAAATCAGTAAACTATTATTCCTGAGTTTTTGATTCACCCAAAATAATTTGAGTTCGTATTTTATGTTTGTGGTGGCCACATTAAAAGACCCTAAATTATTAATCACTTTCCTAATTCTTCCATAAACGTTGTGACACCCAGATTATTCTGCTACGTTTTAAAAACGTTGGTACTTTAGACCAAGAATATAATTGTTGTCTCTTCCATATCTGCATCACTTTTTATCTGAAATATCTACTTAGTGGCATTGGTAGCCTAGTGGTTAGGCTACTGGACTCATAATCGTGAGATTGCGGGTTCGGGTGTTTGTGCCTTAGCTCTGGCCAACGTTGTGTTTTTGGGAAGGGTACTTTACACGAATTTCCCACTTGGCTCGGTCCTTTCAGAGACGGGCGTTAAACTAGGAGGTCCCGCCTCTTAAATAATCTAATAGTGTTGACAGGGGCGTTTAACCCCTACCATTTCACCATTTTTTATATCTACTTAAATATGTTATTCTCCGACCACTTTCTCATTCAGCCTGCATGCAACATTTGTCCTTTATTTTACATCCAAGAGTTTCTTTCCTATCAAACATCTATTGTCCATATTTTTCCTTCTTTTCTAGGTATGTTACTGTCTAGTACCACCTCTAATATTTGGCACTAATATGACCTACTTGTCATGTCAGTGCTGTTAAACTCTGACTAAAAAAAATTCTTGGGACTTATGGAACTGACTTGTCTTTCTTTCTGTCCAAATTTACTGTTGGAGAAGAGATTTGTCTCATTTCAATGTTACTAGTTTTCTTTGCTCAAGGGTTTTTTTTCTCCATTTTATGTTTGTTTGTTTGTTGAGGAGGGTGGGGGGGGGGGGGATTCGAACTAGAAACTCTACTGACTTGACACAATTTTTAAAAGTTAGCTTTAAATTCGGAGATGGCAGCAATTTTCTATCTGTTTAGAGAGATAGTTGTAAGAAAACAGCATGTAATAATTAAGGTGTTTCAATGTGATTTCTGTTATGACTAGTTTGTCAATGAAAACGAGCAAAAAAATGTATGTTTTATCGGAGTTTGGGTTTGTGGAAGTTCCTGTGAATTCTAATTATTTTGATCTCATTCCTTCTCATGCTGTACTAAAGTTTCCTGTCTGACAACTAAATTATTTATTGTTTTTGTGTAATTGATTACATAACCTTCATGCCTGGTTGATTTTTTTTTTAACTGCCGTTTGATGGTGATTTGCAGTGTTTATCTTCTTACTCTTTGTTGTACTTTGTGTAGTTATTGCAATGTTTCAAGGCAATTTTATAGACTGGTTGTTTTCTTTTACCTTTCACAGAAGCCAGAAAGATCTACTGAACTACGAGAGAGAAAAACTGATGAAGAAGCTTATAGAGGCAGAGATGGATGGGCAGGCAGCTGCCCAACAGGTGAAGTGTGTGTGTGTGTGGGGGGGGGGGGGTGAATGTGTGTGTGTTTGTTTGTTTGTTTTCTTATCAAATATCTATTGTCCTGATCTCTCCCCCTCTTTTGTGTGTGTGTTTGTTACTCTCTTGTAACATCTCTAATCTTCGGCTCTTATATGACTTTATTGTGTTTTGCAAGTGCTGTAAAACCCTTACTAAAACTAAAGTATATACTGGAGTAAAGCTAACACACCACACCCATTATAGTATCGTAAACACGACATGTGCTATCTGCTCGAGAGCTTATTTTGAACTGCCGTGATTAGTGAGTGATCACGTGAAAAGCACATCTTAATGGTCACATGATACACACAGATATAAAGGGCATAACTCGCATAATATAACGATCACGACCACACACAGTTACTCCCTCTTAAGAATACATCACATCAATACTTTTTTTTTTTTCAGGTGAGGGAACTCAAGGACCTGGTGCGTCGCTTGAAAGACGAGACGCGTTTATCGTCGGCTGATCAAGCTCGCTTGGCCAAACAGAAGGACGTTTTCCTCGAGTCGATGGCTGACTTTGAAGCGACCAATCGTACGCTGCGACGTCTGCTGCGAGACCAGCACAGACTCGAGGCCTCGGGGCTACGGCTGAGCGAGCAGAGAGACGTGCTCATGAGGAAGCTGGCAGATGCTGATATGTCCAATGAGGTGAGTAAGTGAGTGCGAGGGGCTTTTGGGCAGGGTTCTTTTGGTACTTCTTTTAGGTTTTGGGGGGTTTTTGTTTTGTTTGTTTGTTTGTTTGTTTTAAATTTAGAAACATTGTTTGTGGTTTTTGTTTGTTTTGTTTTTTAGTGGGGCAGGGTGTTGTCCTTTTTGTTAATTAAGTTGTTTTTTTTGGGGGGGGGGGTTTATTAGGGTGCAGTTGGGGAGTTTTGTTTGAGACTAGATGTGAAAGATGTTTAATACTGTCCATTGTTCTGTTACTGTCATAATTTCCTATGTTTGTTGTCTTTACAGCGCCTCAGGACCCAGCTCTTAGACTGTGAAGGTCTGATAGCTGACATCAGGAACCAGCTGAGAGCCGAAAAGGTAGGACTGCTCAGTTTTGCTTTAACTGATATAGCATTTATAGCATACATATAAATGAAAGAAAGACTTTTAGAACTTAAATTTTAGGTCCGTATTATACAGGAGTTGGTTTCAGATCCTGCTTAGTATTACTTTTAACTAATACAGCGTTTATAGCATACATATGTTATGAAAGGCTTTTGGGATTTAATTTTAGGTCCGTATTTTAGAAGACTAGGTTTCAGATCTTGTATACTTTAAGATCTGGTACTGAAAAAAAATTGTTTAAAGTTAAGAAGTATCGAGCGATTCTGCATGTATGGAAGAGGAATAGGACCTCGAGAGTTGGGGGGGGGGGGTTCATGTGATATAATAATCATTTATATTGTTTTCATTATTTTTTTAAAGTAGTAGAATGGTAGCAGTAGTAGCAATAAAAATAATAATATTATACCAACGTCTGTGTGTAATGGTAAGGCACTTTCCTGTCACATACAGAAGTCCTGAGTTCAATTCCTGTGTGTGGAGAATTTTTATCAAGTATCTCTGTATCTTTGCTGGGATGTTGTAGCCCTCTCTGCCAAGGTTGGCCCTGACAGGCATCATCGAAGCCCGCCTCCTAAATGATCTCAATTGTGTGGATGGGTGCATAAAAACACCTTTAATTTAATTTTTTTTTCTACTTGTAATAAATTACTTTTATTGTGTCAATCATGGGTAAAATTTTGGCGGAAATGTGGATGGAAATTCCGGCAAGAGAAAGCCAGTCGGCATCATAATGCTGGTGACGGCCGTCCTTGACTGGGCTAGTGTCGATCTCGTGAAGCACGAGTTTCTTTTGTTTACCTGACAACTGTCTTTAAAAAAGTCAGACTTTTTAACTCTGCTACTCAAGTTCGAGCAGAAATCGACAGTACGGGGGTGTTTCGATTAAATGTATCTTTTCAGGCAAAACCCCTTGAGATGCTATGAGTTTGAAAGTTATCGGGCAAAATGGTTGTGACCATCTCGCGACCTCAGTACTTTCTTGTCATATCTCCATTTTTTAACATTGAAAATGTGACTTCTCCTTAAGCTCACTCTTTGTTATGAACTGTTTTCACTGTTATTAATAATGGAGATACGACAAGAAAGCACTGAGGTAGCGAACTTTTACCCATGGTGTCAGTGTGCTTCTTTTTACTCAAACTAAAACTACAACTGACCTGTACCCTTCCCCTCCCCGCCCCACCCCACAGGAGGAGCGGTTGGCACTGAGTAACCTCCAGGGATCTCTGGAGAGCACGCGCGGCCACCTCCAGAAACAGTTGAGGACCAAGGAGGCTGACTGTAACCGTATGGCTGTGCAGATTCGAGTACGTCCCAAAATTTTCGTCATATTATTTAGCTTTGTTCTTTTTTTCTCTTTTCTTATCTTTTTCAATTACACCCAGATCTCTCTCTCTCTATCTCTCTCTATCTTTCTCTATCTCTCTCTCTCTCTCTCTCTCTCTCTCTTCTGGCGTTGTGGCGTCATAAGCGGTGAGCGATGCTGACAGCACGCAAGAACTCAACATTCACTCGGGGGTCCTTGAAAAGTACTGAACATGTGTCACTGAAGTGTCCCAGCAGACGTGTTCTGGCATGATAGTTGGCGGGACATTTCAGGAACACGACATGGTCCATAGTCTGGTTCTTCTCCCTTCAGGCTTGACAGGACGGATCTGGATAGTCCGCTGGCGCAATTTTATGTTGATATGATTTCAGCTTGGGGCACCCAGATTTGATTTCTATCATACAGACAAATCAGATTACGGTGATTTTTTTCAAAGTCGGTACCAAAGGTGAAAAATCTACCTGTAATCTTAATGGCAACCATTACACAAAATAAAAATTTTATTTCATTTTCTTTAATTCTTAATAGAAGTGGTATGTTTTTCATGTGCAACAAAACTATCAATGTGAAACAATAGATAAATGTTTATGAATCTTTTAGTAGGTAGGTTCGAAGTGTAGTTACAGTTTTTTTGTTTTTGTTTTGTTTTTTGGCGTTTTTTAGAAATCAAACTATGGTCTTGGTAGGTGGTTGGCAGGTGCTCTGGTTTGGTTTGCTCCTTCTTTCCTATCAAACATCTATCGTCGTTATCTCCCCTCCTTCTTTTTTATGTTTGTTACTCTCTTGTAACACCTCTAATCTTCTGGCGCTCATATGACCTTACGCAGTTGCGAGCACCGTAAAACTCTTACGAAAACCCCCAAAAAAACTAGGTCTCCTGTTGACAACAGAGAAGCAGCTAAGTGCAACACCACACACAGATGCCAGTGAATTATTTCATCGTGTGTTTCTTTTTCCGTCTTCCCCCAGAGCCTGGAGGGGCAGCTGGCTCAGGACAGGATGGAGAAAGAACAGCTGCTGGAGACGGTGAACTCAACTCGCGGCCGCGGAGAACGGGACAAGGACGCTCTGAAAAAAGCCGCTCGGTAAGTCTGTCTTTGCAGAAGTAAGGCTCGCTCACTTGCCACTTTTGTCACCCATCTATAAAAATGGGTTTTTTTTTGTTTGTTGTAGAG